GAAGAAGTCCACCAAATGAGTGGCCGAACAGATCTTCTCCTCAAATAAGTCATATTTGTTGAAGAATAGGATTACCGACGAGTTGTGGAACCACTCGCACGTGACAATTGTCTTGAATAGAGCTTTACTTTCTTGAAGGCGGTTATCATTGGATCCGTCTCTTAAGATCTGATCGAATTCACTGATCGCACAAATGAAGATAATGGATGTGACGCTCTCGAAGCAGTGGATCCATTTGCGACGTTCAGACCGCTGTCCGCCGACGTCTACCATACGGAAGATAATGGATTCGTAGACAAACGTGTATTCATTGATGCCATTAGTGGGCGCCCGCGCTCTCAATATGTCCTGTTGTGTCGGCAGATATTCACTGCCAGTAATCCTATCGATGTCTGAGATGTAATATTTGGCCGAATCTGNTCTCGAAGCAGTGGATCCATTTGCGACGTTCAGACCGCTGTCCGCCGACGTCTACCATACGGAAGATAATGGATTCGTAGACAAACGTGTATTCATTGATGCCATTAGTGGGCGCCCGCGCTCTCAATATGTCCTGTTGTGTCGGCAGATATTCACTGCCAGTAATCCTATCGATGTCTGAGATGTAATATTTGGCCGAATCTGTCAATTGGTATTCATTTCTTCGACTAAAGCATTGCTGAACTCCAAAGTCGGTCCACAACTCTTTGATGGCATCGACGATATGTTTGTCTAAAACAAACATCAATTCAAAGTCAACGCTTAGAATGAGTTGTGAATACAATTGACAAACACTGGACTTGTAGTGAATATCCAAAAGTTTCATTGCATTCACAATGGATTGCATCGCAGATAATATGTTGTGATGAATGACACGAATGTAAGCCCTCTTCTCGTCGTCGGAAAAGTCTTTTTCGTGAATAATTCTCATTTGTTTAATGAAAGTACTTTTGCCCGACTCTCCCGTCCCCAGCAATAACAGCTTCAACTGTCGCCTCGAGTTTCGTTTGTCTTTCTTAATCTCGGTTTGAATTTTTTTGTTAATCTTTCTCTCGACACAACTCTCTTCACTTCGACAGCAATCCATTGCATCAAACATTGCATTTCATACTAACCACTGTCTGGTCGCAAGTGCCACACAACTACTGTATAGTCACTATACTATAGTCTGTTTATCACTGTATTATTGAGTCTGTTTTCCAAGACTTACATCCAATAAAGTTATATAACTTACATATTATGTATATTTATGTGTTGAGTAAACAAATAGTAAAACTATTTCATTATTTGTATCACTTTTTGTAGCACTTTATATGCAATAAGAAATTTGACGAAATAAATTGAATCTGTTTTATAGCATCGCTTTTATAGCACACAGAATATTATATCTAATTCCGAGTTATTTTCATCCCTTTTCCATATAAACAACTTAATTAATGGTTTTTATGTCAAAACACTGAATGTCAACTAACTTTTATTTCTATTGTATAATATAAATAAGGTTTGAATCTTGTTGTCGTCAGTAATTTCTGAATCGCGTTTATTTCCAACCAATTTATTAATGTTTGGGAATATTGAGACAAACCATTCAATATACGAAATCCCTATCCCTTGTGAAGTGCATACGAACCCAATATGATGTAATTGCAAATACATTTCTGGATTATGTTACTTTTAATATAATAATTGAAATTACATTCGATTATATTACGATAAATTAATAATTGATATTTAAACTATCGGATATTTTTAACCACAATTAGATAAAGAATCGTATAGAAACATGGGATTATAGCTTAATTTTATTGCTATACTTTAAGATAAAGTTAATGTTATCCTATGGAATGGAACTAATGATAATCTTATGAAGAATGCTAAGTCAATGGGCTAATGTTAAGCCTATGGACAATGTTATCTCTATGGCACTGCTTGTTAGTCTGTGGAGAATTCTAAGTCTATGGGACTCATGTTAAATGTGTAGATAATGTTGATGTATTCTTTAAGCAATACCCGAATTGTGGTTAACGTATAGCATCGCTGTGTGAGTTGTTTTAAATAATATTTTAATAATAATACAGATTTCCATAACTTATGAATTAATTCTAAATATAAAATGATTTATTTTCAATATGAGGGCAATTCTTTTATTGCACTAATTTATTATTCATGAATTAGAGCTCATCCTTGAGAAGAGTATATCTATACTCAGACGGCGCCAACTTTTTGAACACAGAATCGGATGCATATGTTAACTAAACAAACAATTATTCCAAATATTAAAATTTGCAATATAAATGTGAGAACATGACTGACCCCTTCTGATAGAGTGTCGCCCTCCACTTCTTCGCCTTCAGTGGTGGCATCGGATTCGTGTTGACTGTCATCACTTCCATCTCCTTTCCCTTCCGTATTCTCAGTGTGTGTTTCGTCTTCGGGTCCAAAATGAAATTCTCGGTGAAGTTTTCCTGAATGCAAATCTGCGATAAATTTTGCAAAAACACCAGTTTTGCTACAAATAAAATTATTATAAAGCTTACAAATCTTATTCAATAGATATGTATTAAGACAATATCATTATCAGCATAAAGTACAATATACTGTATACATATAATAAAAATTGTAGAATTTTTCTAATTCTAAATGTAACTATGCTATTTCGTAAATAAGAAACATTAAAATTAATTAAATATAAATAAAAAATATGATTAATTATGTTAATTGTTATTAATGTTACTATTACTTACTTTAAGTCGGCATAATTGGGAAACAAATACATGTGTTTGAAGCTATCGATAGCAATGATAGGCAAATCCTGTTTAGTTCTGTTCACGTGTTCGAGCGGGTGATCAAAGAGGTCCGCGTCTGCGGTCACAAAGTTTACGGTCGATATTTCATTGATAAGCTCTTTATGAATGACTTCTTTATAGAATTGAGGGCTTTGTTCGTCAGACGGCAGATGAAAAAGTATAGCTAATGGCAGCTCTTCTTCAATGATTTCCTCTGCGTTTTCAAACGTGATTTCTCTGACAATAGGAATGCACTGATATGTAGCCCAAGTGCTCAACTCGTCGTATGTTTCAAATATAAGATCATATTCAGACTGTTTGGTACTTTTGGATGATTTAAATGCAAGCAATTCTTGTTTGTCTTCGGGAATGAATGGCGAATTTGTAACCCAAAAGAATTCGCAGAATCCGCGCAAATCTGCGGCAACTCTTCTGAATATACTATACTTGGGATGTGTGTCACCGTCTTGTCTGTAATATCCAATTACGGCCGACTTGTTGTACATAATGTCCGTTAAATGAGTGTTAATTTTGTAATCAATGTGAACGACTGGATCAGACAATAAGAGTCTTATATATTTGACAATTGCTTCCTGAGTTCGCGGTCCTCTATATTCCTTCTTCATAGGCTTTCCGTTAAGATAAACCTTAAGAGTCGGGTATTTAGTGATTTGATTGCGCGACGAAAGGGTTGCTGTGATTATGAATAATATATTTTAATTAAATTGATATAAATAAAAAAAAGGGCAAAAACACAATCACCCCGTGTAGATAGAGGTGTGGAATTGGTGTTGGATATTAATTATCTAAAGTCAACAAAACTCGGCTTCTGGTGCTTAGGAATGGGAGCTTAAATAATAAGACCAATTCCACAATTCTATACACGGGTAATAGTGATTATCGCGCTTTTCATGTATACTAATAAAAATCTCATTATAATTGTTAGCAAACATACGATTCTCATCACAATTAACGCGTGTAAACACGACTCGATTTGTTCCCTAAGTTTCAATAGGATATGAATTAATTTTAAATAAAATGAAATTTAGTTAACAAAACTATACCTCAAATTCTTTGCCTATAATAATAGCCGATTCTTTATAAATGGGACTTAATATTTGACTGAATCGACACCACTCGGCGTGAAAGTTGACAAATACTAACTCATGATATGCTGACAATTAGACAATTATTATTAACATTAAGTTTTTTAAAGTAATTATATTCATATGATATGATTAAATATGAAGTTACAGATAATTGAATCAAAGTTCTCAATAGTTAGATCCACGACTTGACAATTACTTAAACCATTTATGCAAAATGCCTAAAATTGTTAAAATTAAATACGATTTTAAATAATCATATTCTTGTAAATATTTATAAAACTCACAAAAATAGCCACAATTTTGACGTAATTTAATAATTGTAAATTAAAATTCATTTTAAACAATAATTGTAAAGACAAAAATTACAAAGATTGTAATTTTAAAATAACTAAACAACGTTTCAAATACTGTAGTGTTAGTGTAAATAATACATGCTTTAGCTTTAATTAAATTTATAATTAAAATTAGGTAATAACAAGATCTCAAACGAAGGAATAAGTTAACCCCACCTCAGATATGGCAATATGAAAATAAAAGTACAGTATTAAAAATTAGCTAATATTGTGCTGCTCATAGATTCTAGAAAGATTAGCATTCTTTACATAGGCTCAATACCTATAAGAATATTATTAGCAAATGTAACAATACCAATAATTGACATTACCCTATGTAAAGTATTTTAGCTATTTATTATTAACAGGAATGATGAAATATAGACCTCGATTTTCACACTGAATTGTGGCTTAAAATACACGTATATAATTTAAAATTAAGTTGTAAAGTTAAGTCAATGTAGTTTCACAACAACTATGATATCGTTAATTGGATATAGAAATGACCGGCAATTATATCCCATCTCTATATTATCCCACATTTATTCCCATTTAATGATTATTTAATCACGATTTGACTGTTTTGTCGAAATTTTATATCCGAAAATAGACTTTATTATACGTACAAAAATATAGACATTAGTTTCAACTAAATTTTCACAATTCATCGTAGAGAACAGATTTAAGATACAATTTAAAATAAATTATCGATTTATTTATGATTCTCAAACATTAATCCTTTTCATACAATTTGATGAGATTTTAATATAAAATATAAAAACAAATCAATAGTGAATGAAAAATACATATAAAGTGTTTTATGAATTGATTGATTGANTAATCCTTTTCATACAATTTGATGAGATTTTAATATAAAATATAAAAACAAATCAATAGTGAATGAAAAATACATATAAAGTGTTTTATGAATTGATTGATTGATTGGAAAACATTTAATATTAAAATCTAAATAATAGCTAAAAAAGATGGGATCAGTTGGCCATCGACGGCGTCTCACACTCTGTATATATCCGATGACTGACTAAACCATTGAACGTCTGGAGTCTCCGCCCAAAAGGCCGACAACTTTGTTAATGAGTGGTAACGACAGTATTGTCCCCAAAACGGGAACTCTGGTCAGGAAAGTGATGGCCGCCGGGAAGAAGCCTCTGAACAACAGTATGAAGCCATAGGTCTCGACAATCATACCGATGAGCGGCCATCCGATCAGTACTATGAAAATGCCGGAGAAGAAGGCGAGCGATGCCTTCCACTTGTGTTTCTGGAAGAAGAACCAGAAGGTCCGCTCCACGCCTATGATGAACGCCAGACCCGATAGAAACAGTATGTTTCCGATGGCCAGCAAACCCTTGTCGAAGAGGAACATCACTCCCAGCATCAGGAAAGTGACGCCAAAGCCCGACAAACCCAACCCTATCTTTTGCATGTCTGTTATGCCCAACATTGTGGCCAATAGGAGACAAACAGATCCAAACAATCACTTCTTCGGCAAACTATATACTCGGCAACAAAAAAAAACGATTGTCTCTCGTGTTTATGGCTTCGGTTTTCGGCGATTTGTGACCACTTCTTGTCTTCCGCCGAACCACTCATTCATTCATTCACTTTATATAACACTATAACACACTTTGCGGTCGTCTTTAATGATGGATAAAACATGTGTTCACTTAATAGTAACCAAACATTGAATGCATTTATCATTCAATTACCAGATATTCAATGAGTTGTTGTGTTTATAACATGAGCTGTCATTCAATGCAATCCTCACATCAATAACGCTATCATTTCTTATGATTCAATGGTTTTGTCAGTATTTGGTGTCAATTATTGTGTTTCCAAAACAATGCATTCAAAAAATGAAAACAAATAATCAAATGATTTAATCATTGATTTAAAACATAAATTGTTTGCAAAAACATTGAATGGATTGTAAAGTAATGTATTGTTTATTATGGAAATGATGTGAAGAGATATGAAGTGAACAATGGATTCAGTGGTGAAGAAGTTTGGATTGTTGTCAATGAAGTGGACGTCGAGAGCGCTTCCGCTGACCAACAAGTCGTTTGTAGTGATTGTACTGATCCTTGTGTTCATGTCTTTCCTATTGATGGCATATCTGTGTCCGGAAGGCATATGTCCTCAGAGTTTGCGGTCAATACCCGACCATCACTTCGACGGCCGCTCTCTCGACACTGCCTTCAAAGACAATTTGGGAAAACCATTGTCTCAATCATCGCATCCTCTCTATCACTATAAGCTCTCTTTCGATGATATGATTAATGTAAATGAGTTTGTCTTTGATATCAAAGGCAATGATGTCATTGTCTTCCTTCACATCCAGAAGACAGGTCTGTATTTTGACATTAATATCATTTGTGGTGATTATCGCTAACCGATTGGTTGTCCCAAAAGGCGGAACTACTTTCGGTCGACATTTGGTCCGGGATTTGGATTTAGAAAAGCCGTGTCTTTGCAAAAAGGGTCGGAAGAAGTGTAAATGCATTCGTCCCGACTCTGAGGCCAAACTGTGGCTCTTTTCCCGATACTCGACCGGTTGGAAGTGTGGTCTTCACGCGGACTTCACTGTACATTAATAATCTCTTATAATTTCTATGAAGTATTAACTAATAAATTGTGTGATTGTTTAGGAACTGATGGGTTGTGTGGACAACGCTTTGGATGAAAGCGAAAGACAGCGAACAAAACGGCGATATTTTTATATAACTTTATTACGGGAACCGATCTCTCGATTCCTGTCTGAGTACAGACACGTGCAAAGGGGCGCCACTTGGAAGACATCGCGCCATATGTGCGGCGGACGAGTGCCCACTAAAGACGAGTTGCCCTCTTGTTATGCGGGAACCGATTGGCGAGACGTGACTATCGAAGAGTTCATTAGTTGCGAACACAATCTGGCCATCAATAGACAGACCCGAATGCTGGCCGACCTGACTCTTGTCGACTGCTATAACAAGTCATTCATGAGCGCTAAGGAAAGGGATGTAATACTACTCGCGAGTGCCAAAGAGAACTTGAGACGAATGGCATTCTTCGGTCTCTGCGAACACCAAAAAATATCGCAATATTTATTTGAAATGAGTTTTCATTTGAATTTTTTGCAGCCATTCGTTCAGTTAAACGAAACGCACAGTACGTTAACCTATAGTCACCTAAAACCAGATTTAGTGAACAAAATTAAACGTCTGAATCATTTGGACATTGAATTGTATGAATTTGCCAAACAATTACTCATGCTATCCAAATTCTTTTACTTTTTAAGACTGGTTTTGAAACCGAAATTAATGTTATTAAATCCTCAATCAGTAGTTTAGTTATCTTTACTACAGAGGCTGTTCTTATCGCGATTTTAGCTACTGTTTCTGTCTGATTATCATTACTATTGATATGCATTTCGAAAACGAGTTGTGAAACAAAACAATACATTTGACAAATAAGTGCCATAAATATTCATAAATTTATTTAATTATACGAATCGTTAGTCTATTATTAGATTACATTTTGTGATACCAATTATAAATTAGACCGAAATATATATTTCCTCAACGAAAACAATGATTTATAATTTAATCATTCATTTTTAGTCATTTAATTGTAATGATTTAATACGAGAATCGAGTCGATTATGAATTATATTATTGCCTTACAATCGATGCATATCTTGAATATAAACAAATTGCAAAACATTTGATTGAATTAAATAATATATTCTGTATAAAGGCTTAAGTGATACTCTATTTAGTACCCGAAACCATATATTCAATCAAAATGAATACATTTGTTGTAGTTTTGCATTTTGTATGATTAGGAACTGCTGTTAAAATCAGGGAAAAGAGCTTAAGTATGGGAATACGTGTGAGGAATAGTGGATCAGCTCTTCTATGGCATATTGTGTACAAAGCGTACCAAACATATACAGTAGCCTTTAATTTATATATTTTAATTACTATAGACTTTGTTTTGTATATATTGTATGTTTTAAACAATACTTAACTTATTTTCAAGACTTTTAACTTCTTATTGTGAAAACATTTGCATTTCATTTTTTAAATGTCATATTCATGTCTATAATTATTTACTATGTTTTACAAATGAATCTTAATATCAAAGCTTATTTAAGTTATCAATTGTTAATAATTATGTTTAAATTCATAAAATATATAATCTTTTAAAAAGATTATATGAAATACTCTATATTTGAGATATATTTAATTCCTCAACAAAACTAATACATGAGATTAACAGTGTGAAAAGTGAGTTATACAGAAAATGTACTGAAAAACAATTAAGTTTCAAAGATACTTTACTGTTTTATTTTATTATTAAAATATTTAAACAAAACTTATAGTTTATAACATATCTTTACCGATTTAATTGGTCTAATGAACAAATATTTGGGACACAACACAATCGCAAACAAACAAATTATCTTGTTTTTTAAGTGTCATCACCACTGCTGGCAATTATAGCACTCGTCCACCAATTATAAGAGTTTTAATAATTTATTACAAAAGTTAAAATTTAATGAATGGTTAATTCAATGTTTTTATAAAATATAAGTTTTATACAAACAATTCAAATGATATCTTTGGTGGCAATTCTTGAGACAATTAGATCCCATTTTTCCAATTCAGTCGACTTCTCCTTCAGTTTATATATCTATTAAAATATTACATTTAATTAGAATTAAAATAATTGCAAAACAATTGGGAAAATAAAATACACGATCGATAAGAGAGTCGTCGCGCAAACACTTGAGTGACTCTATTGGAAGCGCTTTGCCGTCAATTTGATCGAAAAAATATGTATTTAAAGTGTCATTGATTTGATCCACACTTATGGCAAGTATAGGCAAAGTGTGATCACTCGGCTTCACTCCAAACGTGCTAAGACTGTCTGTGATCTGAATTCATATGAAATAAGTGTTAATTAAGGCGAAGACAACACAAAAACAGACATAAAATACAGACATTTTTAGACAAACTTAAACTGAAGAGAATCTCTTTATTCACTTGTTTTGTAATCAATTTGTCAATCAGTTTATAACCCATCGATTTATTGATCGCACATAAGAGGTGATTGACATCAAAGATCTGATCCATGAAAACAAAAAGACAATCAATAGGTGTTGACATCGGGTGTCAAATGAATGGTACAAAAAAACATACGGTCTTAGCGTTGATGAGACACAAGTTGTCGTTGGTTTGCATTAATTGAAGAATTTGTGGCAAATTATGGATACTTTCGTATAAAGCGATTCGTGTTTCGTATGAATCCATAAATAGTCGGCATTTCAATGGTTTGGTCATCACTTTTGGGACACAATTAGTGATCGCAATTCAAATCACATTCAAATCAATACAATTGCATAACATTTGTCTCACGTGTTGTTGTGTCACATGAGTTCATATTTACCACATTTACCATCAAATATGTCACACATTAGCCAAACATTTGATGCATTCATTTGTGCCTAGTGTGGTTCGATCCATCTGGCGGAGCAAAATATGACTAAAATGCCCGCCATATGCCCGCCATATGGCCGCCATATGGCCGCCATATGGCTTTGTTTACATCACGTGGTATAGTGAATCACACAAGTAACGTAATTATATTGTCATATTAACCATTAATTATATGACGACGTAAGTTATGTTTTAGTTTATGTGACTTTTGTGAC